TTCTCATAATCACTGAAATTCTCACTTAATTTCACTTTTATTTCGCGTTTTATATCTTCAGGTAATTCACGACTTGATATCAAATCCATTAAATTCTCGCATTTAGTCTTCAATTCCTTTGTCGACAATTCAGTCGACTTTTCCAAGTCTTCAATACTTTTAACCAAATCTTTATTATCGTTAAGAAGTCTTTGATAAGCATTTGTGGTCACAATAACACCATTCGGAACATTGAATGTGTTTTCGTACTTCTCTTTAACCAAATCTTCACTCAAACTCTTGAGAACCGCTAAAGAACTTCCTTTACCTCCACTTAAGTCAACGNCTTCACTCAAACTCTTGAGAACCGCTAAAGAACTTCCTTTACCTCCACTTAAGTCAACGCGTTTTGCATTCAATTCATTGAATCCCAAAACAAGTGACAAATCATTTGTTAATAATTTACAGGTTTTGTTTGGTTTCTGTATTTGTGTCTCATTTTCGTCTAATATATAACACATTCCCTCGAATTCATTGATTAAAAGTCGTTTTGCAGAACTATTTTCATTGCTTTCTATTATAAAGTTGTAATCCTTTTCATCAAACTTTGCCTTAAAATGAATTAATTTTTTATCATTTAATTCCTCAAAGTTTTGTTTATTAAGCGATAAATCCGTGAGTTTTAATAAATGATCTTTTTTATGGAATAGGAATCCAAACCGATATTCATATCCATTATTATTAGAAATTAATGCCAAATGAAAACCAATGCCTTGACATATAAAAAGTTAATTATAATAACTTTATATATAAATTAAAATTATTTATTAATTAATTATTGTAATCATACCTTCTTTAGTGTATCCAATGATTCTTTTAATACTTCTATTCATTTGTTTGGTTTTGAAATACTTTTTACTAATAGATCCCCAAAAGTATAATTGTTTCTCTTCTTCCATATCTTCTTTGAAATTGCCTTTCATTTGTCCGAATTGTTCGAAACGGTCTTCTAATTGATCCACAATTTCATTGTCTCTATTCTTGGATCTCATCATCTCTTTGGCCATAAAGTGATCGTTGAAATCGTGGGTAAAATCTGCAACTCTTGAGATGGAGTACCACAAGAACCTAAACCTGACGTAAACTAATTGGTTGTCATTCTTCGTGAGATATCCCCTAAACTTAATGCGTTTCCTTCTAAAGGGTGACATAATCTCTAAGCCGAGTCCACACACTCTGTATTCATTGCTCCGGTACTCGACCTCCGAGTCCTCCTCTAATGTATAGCTATTACTGTTGTTGTCATCAAATCTCAAACTAATGGTTGCATTGATCTTATCGTTCACTCCTTTTGGTCTCCATTTGATTGCAATATAAATGCTTTGTTTCGATGAATTCACGCCATATATCAACACGTCTTCGGGTTTTGTCTATTTATTTAATAAACAGAATTATGGTTTAATCATTTAACAAACTACTTATATTAATATTAATAAATAGTTAATTTTGACCAAATAATTAGGCAAACTTTAAATTACAGAACTTTTAATTATATAATGTTTGAAATTTTTGGCTGAAATTCAGCATTAAAATGGTAGTTTATTAGATCACCTTGCTCGGCTAGGTAATTATATTAAATCTATAATAGTTTTATATTGATTGAATAACACAACATACATATTATACTAGATGTCTTAATATATGTTCCATACCTGTTGTGGTAATTCATATTCCCATTCGTGAGGAAATGGAATAATGCCCGCATCCGAACAGTTATTCTTCCAGAGGTCATGAGTTAACACTCGGTTTGTTTTTTGTTGTCTTCTTTTTGACCATAATTTCCAGAATTGAGTCAAATATGTAAACCACTGGCCATTGATCTCACGGTTTAGTGACAATAATTTGTTAACATATATTGTAATCACTGGTATTGAGACTAAGAGACCCATTATATAACTAATTCTTAAAACTAAAAAATTGATTCAACAATGTTTTATCAACTTTCAAAGTCAATCAATAGAAATAAATGAGAAATGTTGTGATATTTATACTTATGTGAGAAAACATTTTGAAATCTTATCTTTTTCGTCAGTTTTGTTTGATAAGTGAAGCTATAATGACGTTCACATCCCAGTAATCATATCATATATAAAACACAATTAAATGTATTCACTCATTAGTGCAGACTTTCTATTGCAATACAATAAAGGTCTGATTATTTTAATCAACAAATATTTGATTTACATTGTGTTTTCACGTGTTTTGAATTAATACATTCTGTACTACAGGTTGTAATCCACAACTCAAGGACCTTTAATTTTTCGTACAATTGCACTGTAGCTGAAAATCATACAATGTAACTTTAAGTTATTGAGTAATCATTGCTTTAAAACTATTTATCAGATTATTATCTATATTATAATTACATTCCTATTATTTTTACAATTACAAACTTGACAATTATTTAATATTATACATTTTCAATAAATATTTTACCAATCTAGTACAATCTAATAAATGATAAATATAATACGAATTTATAGTACATGATGATTCAATATAAGTCAGAAATTTCAATACAAATATTTAGTGCATTAAGTTAATGTTGCTAATAAAATTTATTGTAATTAAAATTGCAATGAGTTTGTTATCGCCGGCACAAAATTCTTGTGCTGTAGTGGTAAAATCTTTAGATACCATATAAGTGTGCTTTTGCACTAAGGAGTTGATAAGACTGCACTAAACACTAAACATGGTCTTATTATGCAATATTGAGCTCCCAGTTAAAGTCTATCCTTAGCTACATTAAAAATATTTAATCACGCTTATACAAATTATAATTGTATTTATTTTATAATAAGAATAATCAAATGACATTTAACATTTTTATCAATTCTCAATTATTAATTTTATATACTGTATTCTATTATTAGCTTTATTTGGTTAATAGTAATGTATTTAATAAATAATAATTATTACAAAAACAACCTTTTTAACTCATTTAATATTTGATCACTTTTACATTTAGCACACAATCGTAACAAATCGACATTTTATTTATATAATTAACAAAATTTAATTTAATTTATTTCAAATAATATAACGAATTCACTCGACTTTAGTGATGGTCTGTGTCTTAGTGTCCAATAGACAGATATCGCCGGTCCTGAAGGCACGACACGCGCCCTCCACTGCTATCAGACTCGGGATCCCGTATTCGCGGGCAATGACTGCCCCGTGAGATATCGTTCCACCGATTTCTGTGA